GAAAAATAAACATCAATCTGCTACTTTATACAAAAAGAAACTTCAGGGAAGTGTCTGTAAAGCAAGTTCACTTTGCTTTTGATTCTGTATTTAAACAAATGTGCTTAGAAAGCCTGCACAAATTTATCTCATTTTCCCTTAATTCAGTTTTAGATTTGTTTTAATAAATTTCCCTTATCAATACTAGCTTTTGCTTTTGAAAAAAATATAGGGCAATAAGTAATATATCAAGAGTAACACAGCTAATTCTAAAAATGTCTTATTAAAAATTTAATTGTCATGGTGGCTCAAGCCTGTAATTACTCAGGAGGTGGAGATCAGGAATTGAGGTTTGAGACTAGTTTGGAAAAAAAAAAGACTACATTGTTCATGGTGGCGCTATAATCCTAGCTATGGGAGAGGTATAGGGAGGATTGTGGTATGAGCCCTGGCTCAGCCAAAACCTGCAAGACCCTATTAGAAAAATAACAAAAGCAGAAGATGTGGGGTATACAAGCACTAGGCCTTAAGTTCAAACTCCAGTACAATAAATGATGGATTGAATGAATGTAGGTAGCTCATTGGTGTAATCTCAGCAACAGACTGAGTGAGGCAAAGGATAGTCGTAGGAGGCCAGGCAGGGCTACACAACAAGTATGAAGCTGGCCTGGGCTACACCTCCTATCTCACTAGTATATATAAAACAGTTGTTAGTGGCAGGGGTAAATGCTCTCTAAATTTGGTAAGAAAGACTTCTTTCCCATATAAAACAGAATAGCATTTTATGGATGATATGATTCTTAGGCTTAGTTTTGATTTCTTCACTTTTTTATTTAGTAATAAGTTGAATAACACAACCATACATCACTTAAATATACTGAATATATTACAGAAAAAGTTTTGTCACAAAAGGCAGCTAGCTGTCCAGTAGAGAAGCAGGTATCTTTTTTACAGTGTTGATTATGTCTACATGTCTGTATCCATGTTTTGGGTAGTACTACATATCTGAACTTGAGCCAGTTCCTCAACCCTTTATGCATTTTAGTTATTTTTTTATGCTGGGTGTCAGTGGTTCATGCTTGTAATTCTAGATACTCAGGAGGCTGAGAAATGAAGATCATGGTTCAAAGCCAGACCGGGCAGGAAAGTATGCAAGACTCTTATCTCCAATAAACCACCAAAAAACCAGAAGTGGCGCTGTGGCTCAAGTGGTAGGCTAGCTAGCCTTGAGCTGAAGAGCTGAGGGACAGTGCCCAGGACCAGAGTTCAAGCCCCACGACCAACAAAAAAAAAAAATTATTTTTTTAGTTAGATCCTATACTTACTGCTCAGTGCAGCCTTGGACTGAACTACTCCTACCAATTACTTCCTTCATGGCTGAGGTTAAGGTGTGTACTTCCACATCCAATTTGTTTGTTACCTTTTTTACACAGCATGGCCTCAATTTGTGATCATCCCATTTGTGCTTGCAGAGTAGCTGAGATTATAACTGTACCACATCTACCAGGCTAAAGTTCATTATTTGGACTGGTTTGAACTCAGGGCCTCAAGCTTGCCGAGTTTGCCTGATTGATTCTCTATCACCTCTAGACCAGCTTTTTGCTGATTATTTTCGAAATGGAGTCAGTCAGACTTTTCTGCCTTGGCTGGCTTCAAACCATACTCTTTGGATCTCAATCTTCCTGAATAATAAGGAATACAGGCTGAAGTACATTCTTTAAAAGAAGTGAACACTTTGATTTAAATGCCAGTGTTTCTTAAAAGAAGAATATAAAGGCACAATGCCTATATGTCTCTGATCATATAAAATAACATTTATTGAAATGAACTCCAGGAAATGGAAAGTTTTTTTCTTTGTTGTTTCTGTTTTCTCTTCTTTTTTGTCTTGTTTAATCTCTCTTTGGAAAGGTAAAGGGGGACACAGAAATAGAGGGACAAGGGGTGAAAAAATGCAGCAGTAATACTAACTAGACACTATTTTGAAAATGAACTATACAACTTGTGGATGGGGACAGGAGGGAAAAACTGGAATAGAGTGAGGGAAGGGATGACATTGTCAAAAAATATATATATTCTTTACCTGACCTATGTAACTGTAGCCCCTCTGTATGTCACCTTCATTACAATAAAAATAAAAATAAAAAATGCAAGTGTTGAAGGAGAATCAAGTTTTTTCCTTGAAGTAATACATCTGATTTAAAGAGGTAATTCTAACTCATATAACTATTTATGACTGTAATTATTATTACTTCAGGAAGCTCAATTCAAGTTGATTATCATTTACTTTCTAGGAGATAAAACACATAATTTTCCCAAGTTAATAAGGAAATAACTTTTACCACTTGCTCAATCAACATTTGCTCCCCAAATAAAACACACAATGTGTTATAAACTAGAAAAATTCTTATGCGTATAAATAAAAAAAACCCTGAAAAGTAAAAAAAAAAAAAAGAAAAAGAAAAATTCTTATGCATGTCACTTTTATGTATTGACATTCATGACAAGTATATGGCTACTTGGGAATTTCAGAATTACTTTGTCATTAAGCAGGGTATGTTTAGACAAAATCAAACAATGCTTCAATTGGATGTTTTTATTAAACAATCAATAATGAAAATACTAAGGCTGGAGGTATAGATCAAATAGTACAACACCTGCTTATCAAGCAAAAGGATCTGAGCTGGATTAAGACTGAAAAATTATACTTTGCTATTACATGTTAAAAATCAAACTACAGAAGAGAGTATAGAGAAGGTTACAGTCATTTGTTAAAAGTAGTCTTGTTACTTTTTGTAAAAGAAAAAGGTTTTCAAATCTTCTAACAAACAAAAGTGCTCGGGACTGGTGCCTCATTCTTATGATCTTAACTATTCAGGAAGCTGACATCTGAGAATCTTGGTTCAGAGCCAGCCCAGGCAGAAAAATCCACAAGACTCTCATCGCTAGCTGGCAAAAAGCTGGAAGTAAAGCTGTGGCTCAAGTGCTACCAGTGGAAGAGATCAGAGGCCCTGAGTTCAAGCTCCAGCGCTGGCACCAAAAATAAATAAATAAATAAATAAATTGTCTATTACAACAATTTCAGAATAGAAGATTGGAAAATATAAGAAAGCCACTAGGTAAGTAGGAACATGTAGGTTCAAATGCCTGGCCATCCCACTTACAGAAATTTGTGACCTTGAGTAAACTTTTAACTTATTTTGGCCTCAATTTATCCAAACTGGCCTTCAGATTAAAAAAGAAATAGCAAATATAGAGGTATTATTAATATAGAGGTATTCTTAGCACTGGGCCTGGCATTTATTTGGTAAGGGCTCAAATGATCTTTACAGTATAAACTAGATGACCAGGAGGATAATTAGTAACCTTGCAAAAACTGTTCTTTTGCTTTAAAATCCAGCCTTTTGTTGCTTAGTAAGGTAACTGTTGGTATCTTTCTGCTTAGTTTTTTTAGTTTTCTAATTAATAACAAAAGGGGTGAAGTGTTTAAAATTGAGTTCGTGGGGGCTGGGAAGATGGCTCAATGGTAGAGTGCTTGCCTTGCATGCATGAGACACTGGGTTCGATTCCTCAGCACCACATAAGCAGAAAAAGCCGGAAGTGGGGCTGTGGCTCAAGTGGTAGAGCACTAGCCTGAGCTGAATAGCTGAGGGACAGCGCCCAGGCCCAGAGTTCAGGTCCATGATCCACCAAAAAAAAAAAAAAAAAAAAAAAATCACCATGCAGCAATTTTTACAGGCAAAATTTTGTGTGTCAAAGACCATCAACCTTTCAACACTATTCATCCCCAGTGATCTTGATGGGAGTTAGGCCCCTATCTATCTCCCAATCTGTGCTTTCAAGATAAAAATCATCTCTGGCAATGGAGAAGGATGCGGAATGAATGTGTCCTCTCTCTTCTCCACGCCACTCTTTCTCCCCCGTGTTGAGGATAGAATCCAAGGCCTGGCACATGGGAAACAAGGGCTTAACTACTGAGCTACTTTCTCAACTCAGGATGAGTTCTTAATAATTCTCCTTGGATGAATCAGTAAGTTATACATTTCAGATGGAAACTGTAACAGTCAGGAAATAGACACATTGCACGAAATCTTTAATCTTTTCTGAACTTGAGTCCTTTCCCTCACCAAGAACACAAGATTTAACTCCCCCCAACTTGAGTAAATTATTTGACAAATCTTATAAAATCGGAATGATTACACCTAAGCTAGAGAGAGAAGAACGAGTTTCAAATGCGCTTGAGCCAAAGTGCCTCAGGTTTAGAGTAAATTGATGGGGTTATCACTTGCATTTCTGGCGCTCCAAAGTACAGGCTGTGGCGCTTCAGTACACAACTCAACACACTTGCCCTCTCCTCTTACATCGTCCACTTACGTCGCTCAACTGTCTGGTGAACAGAACATTGTTTTTTGAAAATTTAAGCTTTCTCGTTCCTTCTCCCAAGCAATCTTTGTAGTTCACACTGTTTGCCTCCAGTATCGGCCTGCTACAAACTCAATGCAACAAGGGAAATGATGTGCTAGTTCTAGGAGGCACCGTGCAGGGCCAAAGGCCATTTAATCGGTATTGCTCTGGAGGCTGGGAGGTCTGTGATCGCCACCCGGAGCTGCAAAGCGGGCTGGGGTCCAGAGACGACGCAGGCCGCGCCCAGGTCTCAAGTTTTGGTGAAGGCCCACGTTCCCACTAGGTGAGGGGGAAGAGCGGGTTCTCCGGTCCCCAAACCCTCGCCACTGCGCCAGCACAGAGGAGACCGGAGGCACCGTAACAGATCCAACTATCAACCCGAAAGGCCTCGCTGAAGCCGGTTAAACGCACTTACTTGAGCAAAGTAATTCCAGGACGCTAGGCCGGCACCGGCAACGGGACGGGCTGCCGTGTCCTCCAGCCCCCGGGAACTGGCCGTGACGTCATCGACGCGCGACGCGGAGAGCGAAGGCCCCGCTGGTGGCCAGCAGCCCGGCGCCGGGAACGCGCGCTCGCCGGAGGGGCGGGGCGAGCTCGCCGCGCGGCGTTGAAAAGTCTTGGGCGGGGCTGCTGCTTGGACACGGCGGGTTTGAACATGTCGCGCCTGCACCGCGGGGCCGGGCGCGATCCGCGGGCGGGTTTCGCAGCCGCGAAGGACTCTGGTGCCTCCGTGCCTCAGGGGCTACTGAAGGCGGCGAGGCAGAGCGGACAGTTGAATTTGTCTGGTCGGAATCTCAGTGAAGGTAAGGCCCAGACGCGTCGGGAAGCCCCGGTCTCAGCCGGCCGGCGTCGGGCCCGGCTCGCGCCCTCCTCTACCCGGGGGTCCGCCCTCCCAGCCCGGATCCGTGCTGGAATCCGCTCCCGCTCCTCCTCCAAGGGGGACCTGCTGGGACTGTGGCCACAATTCAGACGAGGCACTTTCTGGAAGTTCCTCCGTCCTGTAGGATAAGTGAAACAGCGTGAGAGCGCGCTACCAAGATGGGCTCATGTTTTTTCTTTGGCCCGATTTCTTCCTGGTAATGGCCTTACCAACGCTACCATTTTTTCCTCTCTCTCCATACACACATATTTATTATTATTAGTCGGTCGTGGGGCTTGAACTCATGGCCTGGGTACCGCCCTTGGGCTTTTTCACTCAAAGCTAGCGCTCTACTACTTTTAGCCGCAACAACTCTTCCCAATTCTCTATTTTAAACGCCGAAATTTTACATCTGTCCCTGTGTTAGCATAAAATGAAGGCCACTGCTTCCTGCCAAGGCCCTCCTGTGTATGCAACTGAGCAAAGTCCTAACGACAAGAGGTAGAGTACATTTTAAAACTTATTATAATTTTATTATCTTTAAGCAGTTATACAGAGGGGTTTCAATTTAACACGTTAGTTTATTAGTTCAGTGCATCTTGTTCAATGCCACCCCTCTTCCCCCCCATCATTCTCCCTTGTTTCTTCCAACCGTGCATTCTTTTTAATTTGTGGGATCTAAATGAGCGCTGCACTTTGTACAGATTTGATCGACCTTGAGAAACCTAATAAAACCAAACCGGAAAATGAAAATTTCTCGTTTCAGTTTCAGTGAGGTCTTTTGTCTATAGAAGTGAATGTATTCTCAAATTTTAGCAGTGAATTTATTACCAGATTGCTGATAGGTGTTGCTCCTTGGAAGGAGGTGTCCTAAAGGAAGGAGAGGAGTCCTCTGCCTTGCCTTCGGATGCCGAATTCTTGATGTGGCCTCAGAAAAAAAAAATCAAGGTACAGATCAAGGGAGACAGCAAACAACTTTATTAGTAAAGCAAAGTAATGGAAAGATAGTATACAACTATGGTTGTGGGAACATCTATGTACAGTGAGTACTTTAGTATCACAAGTGTTTGTGTTGAAAAAAAAGTAGATAGTGTTTGGATCCGATTAACCAGAAGTTCGAACACATGGTACATTTAGTCATTTTTAATGTTACTTTTTTTTATTAATTGGTACTGGAGATCTAGGGTTGACCTGCTGAACATTGGATCACTGGGTAGTTTGGCATTTTCCTCCACTTGAGTCATTGATCTGAGACAATAGATTGTTATGTGTTGCTTTCAACACACATGTCCATCCCTGAGATAAATACTTTCCTAGCAATCCCTTTTTGTGCCCAAAGGAGTCATTTTCCCAGAACTATTTCTTTTCTTCATTTAGTTAAGTATACTGTGGGCAAGGTAAGTTGGTTTTTTATTTTATTTTTTTAATTTTAATTTTTTTTATTTTAATAAATGTTGCAACTTATGAGTGTAAGATGACAAAAACAGTACTTCTGTGCTTTTACTAAAGCTATTTCTTAACACCATATTTGTTTCTGATTTTCTGGCAGCTGTTTCCTTTTTGTCCTGCACCAAATTGACTCTTTTTTCCTCCAAAGAAAGTGTACAAAATGACTATAGCCCATTTGTTATTCCTCATTTCTATAATTTATCTGTTGTCAGTTGGAAAAGAAAATATCAAAAATATAGAGAATTTTTTTTTTACTGTTAAGAGTCATGCTGTATGAAAGCCACAGTGACTATTTAAATTTTTAATTAATCCTTATTACATACAATTAAAAACAAACTTGAGTCACTTTAGCCACATGATGGTATCAATAAGCTCACGTGCTTTTTGCTGGCTGATTTGTATTTCTTTTCCCATTCAACTGTCCATAACTACATATCAAAATAATAATAGTATGTTTCTTGAAAACATTTGTTTTCAAGAAAATTAGAGTAGTTTTTAAAAAAATTGTTGGTTTGCTTTGCTTTAAAAATAAGCATCCATCCACAGTTGCAATTTATTGCTGTTTGAGTAACTAGATTACAAGTTTTTTATCTGTTTTCTTTTTATGGTGATGTTGGAAATAGTGCCGCAGTGCGTTTGGAGAATAAATGTGGATATCCCTGCAGAAGCTAATCAGAACCTCTCATTTGGTGCTACTGAAAGATGGTGGGAGCAGACGGATTTGACCAAATTAATAATATCAAACAATAAACTCCAGTCACTTACAGATGACCTCCGGCTTTTACCTGCACTGATTGTTCTTGATGTAAGTTGTTTATAATTATGGATTCTTTTTTCTTTTTGGGTCCGGTCGTGGGGCCTGAACTCTGGGCCTGGGCGCTGTCCCTCAGCTCTTCAGCTCAAGGCTAGCGCTTTACCACTTGAGCCACAGTGCCACTTCCGGCTTTTTTTTTTCTTTTTGCTTATGTGGTGCTGGGGAATCGAACCCAGGGCCTCAGGCATGCAAGGCAAGCACTCTACCACTGAGCCACCTTCCCAGCCCTGGGTTCTTAATTGAAGAAGCTAAACTTAGACATTGGTAAGCAAAAAAACAAAAACCCCAAAACAAAAAACGCTTTCATACTGAGTTGGTATAGAATGCAAGGTCAAATAACAAAGTATTGTATAAGGAATAGAATAATGGTTAATAGCTATGTGACTTTCGGAAAGTTACATCTTTGTGCCTTGGTTCTATTTCCTTATCAAGAATTGATACCATTGCCTACTTTTGAAAGGTTTTTTGTTTTTTTTGGTCTGTTGTGGGGCCTGAACTCTAGACCTGTAACAATCCAGGTGCTAGTAATGTCTTGAACCTGTAAACCTAGCTACTCAGGAGGCTTAGGTCTGAGATTGTGGCTCAAAGCCAGCCTGGGCAGGAAACTCCTTGAGACTATTATCTCTATCTTAATCAGCAAAAAACTAAAACTGTAACTGCAGCTCAAATGGTAGACTGCCAGCCTTGAGTGAAAAAGCTAAGGGGTAGTGCTCAGGCCCTGAGTTCAAGCCCCAGTACTGGCATGAAAAAAAAGTAAATAGATAAGCAACCACTTGTTACCACTTGTTAACAAGGATTCTGGCTGGGCACGAATAGCTGGAGATCAGAGGATTGTGATTGTGATGGATTGTGATTTCATGGGCAGGAAAGTGCATGAGACTTCTCTTCAATTAACCACCAAAAAGTTAAAAGTGGATCTCTGGCTCAAGTGGCTAAGGGCTAGCTTTGGACAAAAAAACTCAGGATCAGCTTCCAGGCCCTAAATTCAAGACTCAGGACCAGCATAAAAAATAAAAATAATAAGCAAGGATTATGTTTGTATCCCGTAACTAAATTCAAAAAATAATTTTCAAGGGCTGGGAAGGTGGCTCAGTAGTAGAGTGCTTGCCTCACATGCATGAGGCCCTGGGTTCTATTCCTTAGCACCACTTAAGCAGAAAAGGCCGGAAGTGGTGCTGTGGCTCAAATGGTAGAGTGCTAGCCTTTGAGCTGAAGAGCTGAGGAACAGCGCCCAGGCCCAGAGTTCAGGCCCCATGACCAAGAACAAACAAACAAACAAAAAACAACAAAAAACACAAAAACACTGAATTATGAGGAATTTTTGGTGCTGGTGAATAATATCTGCATCAATCCAAGAGGTAACAAGTGGTTGCTTATTTATTTATTTACTTTTTTTTTCATGCCAGTACTGGGGCTTGAACTCAGGGCCTGAGCACTACCCCTTAGCTTTTTCACTCAAGGCTGGCAGTCTACCATTTGAGCTGCAGTTACAGTTTTAGTTTTTTGCTGATTAAGATAGAGATAATAGTCTCAAGGAGTTTTCTGCCCAGGCTGGCTTTGAGCCACAATCTCAGATCTAAGCCTCCTGAGTAGCTAGGTTTACAGGTTCAAGACATTACTAGCACCTGTATTGTTACAGTTTTTATTGTTATAGTCTATTGTTAATATCAAAGCAGTTATATTAGTTACTTAAGGTAGTATTTTTATTATCTATTGCTTATTTATTGATTTTACAACTTGCCTTTAAGTAAACTTTAAATCTTTGTGTTCTTATTAAGGGGATCCATTTTTAGGGTATAGATGCCATATCATGTAGTAATGTGAGGTATTAGTCATTTATTGAGAATCCACTAGTATTTGTGTGTGTGTGTGTGTGTGTGTGTGTGTTGTGTGTGTGTGTGTGGGGGGGGGTTCTGGGGCTTGAACTCTGGGCTTGGGCACTGTCCCTGTGCTCTTCAGCTCAAGGCGAGAGCACTCCCGCTTGGGCCACAGTGCCACTTCCGGTTTTCTAGTGGTTTATTGGAGATAAGAGTCTCACAGACTTTCCTGCCTCGGCTGGCTTTGAACCATAGTCCTCAGATCTCAGCCTCCTGAGTAGCTAGGATTACAGGCGTGAGCCACCGGCACCTGGCTCCACTAGTATTTTTATACTTCATTTAGCAACACCAAAAATTCTCTAGTTTATGTGTGTCAGGTGGAAATAGTGAAGTTTCTAGAGAAGTTTTTATTGTCTTTGTCAAATGAATGTACTGGCTTCCCCCTTTGTTGTTGTTTGTAACCTTAAAAGCAGTATGATTCTAGCCAGGCACTGGTGGCTCATGACTGAAATCTTAGCTACTTAGAAGGTTGAGCCCTGAGGATTGAGGTTCACAACCAGAGTTGACAGGAAAGTCTGAGGCTCTTACCACCAACTAACCAGCAAACAACTGGAAGTAGAGTTATGGTTCAAGTGGTGGAGGACTACCCTTGAGCAAAATTGCTCAGTTACAGCACTCAGTCCCTGAGTTCAAGCCCCAAGACCAGCACCAAACCCCAAAACAAAATCAAAATAAAACAAAATAATTCTGTAATTTTTACAGATGTTTACATAAATAATATCATCAGAAGGCTATTGTTTATGATTCTCTCACCTCCTACAAGAAATTGAAACTCTATTCAAAGAGATAAATTACTTTTGTTGTTGTTGTTGGTGGTCATGGGGCTGGGTGCTGCTTTCCCTGAGATTTTTCTGCTTAAGGCTAGCAGCACTCTATCACTTTGAGCCACAGCTTCACTTCCAGTTTTCTGATGGTTAATTGGAAGTAAGAGTCTTATGGACTTTCTTGCCTGGGCTGGCTTTGAACTGCAATCCTCAGATCTCAGTCTCCTGATTATTAGGATTACAGGCATGAGCTAACAGCATCCGACAAGGTAAACTACTTTTTACGTATTTTCTAATTATGTTTTAAATTGCTAAGTTCTTATGTCTTATGAACAATTGAGTCAGTTTCAAGCTATTTCTCCTTTACTACACATAGAACAAATTACCAATAGCCTCATCATTGCCATTGAGTTAGAAGAACAAGGGATTGTAAGTGCATAATTTTGTATAATAGCAAAGCTCAACTATTGCTAAATATAACTTTTCTTTAAAAACAATTTTAGATACATGACAATCAACTGACATCCCTTCCGTCTGCGATAAGAGAGCTAGAAAATCTTCAGAAGCTTAATGTCAGGTAAAGTTTAGCTTATTTTTTTTTTTTATAATATTACAATTACAATAGTATAAACATAATATTCTTAAAATATTTTTTCCTAACATTAGAAAGTGTTATTAGGTTGGGTTGTTAGTTTATAGGTAGTACCTCTTGGACCCTTCCTTGTTTTAATCTGCAATTCAAAGTGAATGGAAATATTTTTGTATTATTTCAGAAAGTAGGTGAGTAATAATAATGCTTTTTAGTAAGTACTGGTGTTTGAAACTTAAGGGCCTCTCACTTGCCACTACCTGAGCCATATTCTAGCCCTTCTTGCTTTAGCAGCATTTCAGATAACAGTACAGTTTTTTGCGTGGGGTGGCCCTGGCTTGCTACTACCAATCTCATATTTCCTGAGTAGCTATGATTATAGGTGGGAGCTACCACTGCTGCCATCCTCTACATCTTTTTTTTTTTTTTTTTTTAAAGATATAATGTCTTACTGTGTTGTCCAGGCTGACTCCAAATTGCTGGACTCAAATGCTATGTGTTTTTCTTTTTTCTTTTTCTCCTTTTTTGTCAGTCGTGAGGGCTGAACTCTGGGCCTGCGTGCTGGCCCTCAGCTCTTCAGCTCAAGGCTAGCACTCTACCGCTTGAGCCATAGAGCCATCTCTGGCTTTTTCTGCTTATGTGGTGTTGAGGAATCGGACCCAGTGCCTCATGCATGCAAGGCAAGCATTCTTCTACTAGCCACCTTCCCAGCCCATTTTTTCATTTTTTAAATTGTTACTGTTAAGTAGTTGTAGAAAGGTGTTCAGTGATACTATTTATTACCTCACCTTTCCAAATATCTAACTCTACACATAGTGCATTTTCCACAATGCACAGCAGATTATCTTTGTGTTTGGCTTTAAATTTGTTTTGTTTGTTTTATGAATTTAAGGCCCAGTGATTAAAAAAATTGTTTTTGTAATGTGAAAATTGACTGTGGTTCTTATTTTGGCAGACTACTTTCTTGATATGCCACATTTTAAGTTACTTTGATAAAAGAAATATCTAGCTGTTAAAGTATAAGAAAAAAATACTAATTCTTTCATTACTGCTGAAGGATTTTATTATTTCTTTCATTGTGATGCTTGATATCAGACTCGGCATTATATACTCTAGACAGGCACTATGCCTCTCAACTGTACCTGTCATTATGATTTGTAATATTACCAGTTTTTAACTTTTCCAAAACTTCTGGGATTCTATGAACATATTTATTATACTGCCATTGATAGGTACTTAGGAGACTAAGTAGTTAAGCTCCTAGCTAATTATGTGCTCCCCAAAACATCCAGAATTTAGGAATATTTGCTGTATCTAGGTTAGAAAAGAAGAAATTAGGGGAAATTTGATTTAGGAGAAGAAATAAGATACTTTTTTTTTTTGGGAGGGGGGTCCGGTTGTGGGGCCTGAACTCTGGGCCTGGGCGCTGTCCCTCAGTTCTTCAGCCAAGGCTAGCACTCTACCACTTGAGCCACAGCACCACTTCCGGCTTTTTTCTTTTTGCTTATGTGGTGCTGAGGCAAGCGCTCTACCACTGAGCCACCTTCCCAGCCCAGAAATAAGATACTTTTATTTCTAAGATCTTTCATTTACATGTGTCATCTGGAAAACTTTTATAAAATAAGTATGTTTACAACTTATTTATTTATTTTATTTTATTTTATTTTTGTTGGTCATGGGGCCTGAACTCTTGGCCTGGGTGCTGTCCTTCAGCTCAAGGTTAGTGCTCTACCACTTGAGCCATAGTGCCACTTCCAATTTTTTCTGCTTATGTGGTGCTGAAGAATTGAACCCAAGGCCTCATGCATGCAAAGCAAGCACTCTACCACTGAGCCACCTTTCAGCCCTGTTTATAACTTTTTAAAAAATTATTTTGTGCTGGTATTGAGGCTTGCACTCAGATCCTTGGCACTGTCTCTGCTTTTTTGCTCTCTTGGCACTCTTACTCACTTGAGCCACAGCTCTACATTTGGCTTTTTTTGCTGGTTAGTTCTGTAATCAGCCTGTACATCTTTCTTAAACATAAGATAGTTGTCTGTTTTCTAGTTGCAAATGCATCTGTCTTAGGGCAAGTAATTTCTAAAATAATAGTCCTGATTTTGTAAAAAAAACATAAAATTACCACAAATCAGAAAAAATGCTTCCTGTAAAAAAGGGGTAATTGGCTAAGCACTTGTGGTACACACTTAAAATCCCTACTATTCAGGATGCTGAGGATCCCAGTTTGAAGCCATCCTGAGAAGATAAATCTGAGAACATTTAACTCCAGTTAACCAATAAAAAGTGGAAATATAGCTTGAATGGTGCCAACCTGAAATGGAAAAAGCTAAGCAAAAGTGTAAGACCATGAATTCAAGCTAAGCGAAAGTGTGAGACCATGAATTCAAGCCTGAAATGGAAAAAGCTAAGCAAAAGTGTGAGACCATGAATTCAAGCTTCAGTATGAGTATAGGAAAAACAAAGGTAATTGTTTAGAACTGCCTTAAGCTTTCTTCCTCATACAAATCGAAGACATAGGTAAGACCTCCAAAGATAAACCTGATAACTTGTTCATTTATCTCCTAATTATCATGGACTGTATTATCCCCTGATTTTGTGCTTCTAATTAAGCTGAATGTCCTACACAGAGGCTCAACTAAGAAGCAAAGACCCAAGTACAGAGTGTAATTGAATAATACTTTCAACATGAACTGCCAGGCCCTCGAACTAAAACATCTATTTCTATTCTGACTGCTAATCTTGAAGGCTAACCTTTGTATAACATGAATCTCTTGTAGCATGTACGTAAATACATTTTTGTCAAAATTCTAAAAGTCAATTATTTTCATTTACATGTAAAACCAAGACTTGACTGTAAGTTAGCAGTTAGAAGTTCTAAACATTTTTGTTGTTTTTCTTTGAAATCTTTTGCTTACTTTACTGTTGTATCAATGAGTGGATGTGAGTTTTGATAAGTTCTTAATAAGCACTTAGTTTATTATTATTTTTTTTTGCCGGTCATGGGGCTTGAACTCTGGGCCTGAGCGCTGTCCCTTAGCTCTTCAGCTCAAGGCAAGCGCTCTGCCACTTGAGCTATAGCACCACTTCCGGTTTTCTGAGTGTTTATTGGAGATAAGAGTTTCACGGACTTTCCTGCCCCAGGTTGGCTTTGAACCGTGATCCTCAGATCTCAGCCTCCTGAGTAGCTAGGATTACAGGCATGAGCCACTGGTGCCCGGCTTTAATAAGCACTTAGTTTCTATAATGAGTTCATGTCATTGATAAGGACAAATGCCTTTGTTAGATGGGTGTTGGTTCACTCTTGTAATCCTTGCTACTCAGGAAGCTATCTGAGGATCAAAGCCAGCCTGGGCAGGAAAGTCAGTGGGCCTCTTATTTCCAGTTAACCACCAAAAAGCAAGAAATGGAACTGTGGCTCAACTGGTGGTACAGCACTAGCCTTGAACAAAAAAGCTCAGGGTCAGTGCCCAGGTCCTGATTTCAAGCCCTAGAACAGGCACAAAAATAGACAAAGTAAAAGTGTTCCGTTGTTAAATATTTGTTGTCTTGTCTACCAAATTATTCAGCATTTATTTTTGTCAACCAATAGTCGTAACAAACTGGAAGTGCTCCCTGAAGAAGTGACACACCTAAGAAACTTGAAGACCCTGTATCTCCAGCATAATGCATTAACTTACATACCAGAGGGATTTGAGCAACTTTCCAATTTAGAAGATTTAGTAAGTTATGATTTTCCAGTTTTTGTATGATTTATGACTGGTGGGTCTAATACATAGGAAACCAATGATTTGGGAATCTACAAAAGTGTTTTTAACTCTCCATTGTATAAAAAATATTTTTCCAATAAGTAGTCTGCTAGTCCTCTCCAAAAATTTTAGGTCCCTGTAGGAAAAATGAAACTTTCCTAATTTGTCCTCTGACATACTGTAGAGGATAGGCTGAATAGAAGTGACGGAGAACACCTCTTAGGAAACCATAGCTTCCCATAGTACCTTCAATTTATGCTGTTTGTAGGACACCTACTATCTTCATAAGTAATTTTTTTTTTTTTTTGTCAGTCATGGGTGCCCGGCTTCATAAGCAGTTTTAAGAAGTGATAAATGGCCAAGACTTTTTTGTTTCTGTTTTAGTAGATAAAGAATTCTGGAGTCAGGAAATTTTCAGTTTCAGAGGTTTCAGTCCATTATTATGAGAAGCCCTTGGCAGAACAGAGCAGTTCCCATCATGATAGCCAAGAAGCACAGAGAAAACGACTGAAATCCATAGCTTTTGAAATATTTAATAGCAATTTCCAGATTCTTAATTGCTTGTCCATTTGTTATTGTTGATTATACTAACTTGGATGTTAATTATGATCATAGCATGTGAAAAAACCCTTATATTTTTTAGTTTTGTATTTATTATTTGTGGTAGTGGAGTTTGAATTTAGGGCCTTGAGCTTGTTAGGCAGGTCCTCCAACCACTTGAGTCACGCCTCCAGCCCATTTGAACAGGTCTCACATTATGTCCCAGCTAGCCTGAATTTAATCCTCCTATTTGTGCTTCCCTTTGTTGCTGGATGATAGGTGCACAACACTGTGCTTAGCCAGTGTGCTTCTCCTAAAAGTTTGGGATGACTGGTACACACTACTGTGCCCAGTCATTGATTGGGATTGACTGCCATCAGTTTTTATTTCTAATCTGGTTTTGAACTGTGATCCCCAAATCTCTGCCTTTCAAGTAGCTAGGAATACAACACTTTTTTTTTTTCCCTTGTTGGTTGTGGGGCTTGAACTCTGGGCCCGGGTGTTGTCCCTCAGCTCTTCTGCTCAAAGCAAATGCATTACCACTTGAGTCACAGTGCCACTTCTAGTTTTCTAGTGATTTATTGGAGATAAAGAGTATCAGTCTTTCCTGCCTGGGCTGGCTTTGAACCTCGATCCTCAGATCTGAGCCTCCTGAGTAGCTAGGATTACAGGAGTGAGCCACACAACACTTTTAACTTTTTTTTTTTTTTTTAAAGATGAGGTGATCTAGTATTTTTACTGTTTTAGAGCTAATTACCGTATTCAGCTGTAGAATATAGTTGCTTGACATTAGACTGAATAAGTCTGCTGAAAACATCCTGAATGTCATTTATTCCAATCATTGTTGACGTTGTCTCTATGACATTGGCACTTTATTGATACTGAGTGTTAGATAGTGTAATCCTCGATTCATAACATTGTCTTTTTTTTTTTTTGAAGGCATATTCTTTGTCTTTTAAACATATGCCTGATTTTAAAGACATTTGTTGAAATTTGTAGTACATGATGTACAGACTACAAGTAAAACTACTGATACACAAAATGGATTTTTAGTATTCTAAAGAGACAAAAGTTAAAGGATGGGAGCTATTACAGAGAAAATCCATGTGGACTACAGTAAGTTAATAGTTCTGTAGTGAGAGATAAATGAGCCATAAATGGAACCTTATAGTGCCTACCATAGCTCTTGACTTCTCATGCATAACAGTGTCTTTTTCAAAATTAAAAATAAAAATGTTTTTGATGTCCATCCTGAGGCTTGAATTGAGGAGTTTGGGTGCTGTCCCTGAGCATTTTTGCCCAAGGCTGGTGCTCTATCACATGAGCCACACTTCTACTTCTAGATTTTGTTTTTGGTAGTTAATTGAGGATAAGAGTCTCACAGGCTTTCCTGCCCAGGCTGCCTTTGAACTGTGATCCTCAGATTTCAGCTACCTCAGTAGCAGGCATGAGCCACAGCGACTGGCAATATTGTTTTTTTAAAGGTTGTTTTAGAGGTAAAGTTCTCTCTCTCTCTCCCTCCCCCTCTCCCTCTCTCCCTCTCTCCCTCTCTCCCTCTCCCCCTCTCCCCCTCTCCCCCTCTCTCCCTCTCCCTCCTCCCTCCCCTCCTCTCTCATCCCTCCTCCTCTCTCTCCCCCTCTCTCTCCATCTCCCTCTCCCTCTCCCTCTCCCTCCCTCCCCCTCCCTCCCCCTCCCTCCCTCTCCCTCCCTCCCTTCTCCCTCTCCCTTCTCTCTCCCTCTCCCCCTCTCCCCCTCTCCTCCCCCCCCCCTCTCATTTCTGGCCTTGGGGCTTGAGCTCAGCCTGTCTTTGTACCATGATCCTCAGATCTCAGCCTTCTGACTAGCTAGGATTACAGGTGTTAGCCACCAGTGCCCAGCTTCTCATTACGTATTTTAAAGCAGAAAATAAAAATTTAAAGAAAAAAATGAGATATGGAGATTAGTTAACAAGCTTGAATTAGTAAACATACAGAATAGACATCTGGTTTTTGTCAAAGAGTATGTGTTGAATGCAGCAGAGCTAAGAAAAATATTTTTCTCCCAAATTAAAATGGCTGGTTATGTTTGTAGTTTTATCTTTGTTTCTTTCAGAAATTCTTATTGTAAAGATATTTTTCACTTCATGTTATGAATTTTCAATAGTTACTAATTTATCATAAGTACTCAATAAATGAATGAATTTATGTATCCTAATGATGACATGTGTCATGTAGCATAAATTAGTTTTAATGAAAATCTTGTATGGTATTTTAGAAATAAGAATTTGTTTTAATTCCTGCTTACTACATTGATGAATACATTGTGTGACTATAGATGTTGAGGAGTATCTAAATTAATGATTATCTGAGAGATATTCAGTGAAGGAAGAGTATTATATAAATTTTTGGAAGTATTCTAATGTAATTTTATCAAAATTCTGAAATCCTTTTTTAGGGAAATTTATTTATTTTTCCATGAACTCATTTGTTCATTCAGTCTTTGCTTTTCAAAGGATCTTTCGAACAATTGTCTTACAACCATTCCTGCTAGTTTTTCTTCTCTGTCCAGTCTGATGCGACTCAATCTTTCTAGTAACCAGTTGAAGAGTTTGCCAGTGGAAATAAGTAGAATGAAAAGTAAGTCTTCTATATTTAAAAATTATGTTTGAGTTCAATGTAACTTGATTTTAGGCAAATAATTTTAGTACAGTTACAGAGAAATACAGTGTTTTTGTGGTGATAAATGCAAACAATAAATATATATTTTCTCCAAACAGTTATTTTATACTATTTACCTAAACAACTAGCACCAAAAGATACTGGGATATTAATACCTTAAGCACTCTAGGTCAGTGCTCTGCCAATGAGCTAAAGCCCCAGCCTTTATTTTTATTTATTTCCAGCCTTTATTTTTAATACTACTATTTCTCTAAATATGTAAAAATAAATTTCATTTACATATATTTCATTCAGTGGTAATTTATTTTTAGTTATTACAGTTGTATGCTATGGTATAGGTTTATAACTGATGAGGATTTCTAATAGATTCTTTGAAGTTCCATATAATCACAGAATATTTTTTTCTCTTTGAAAATATATTGGATTTTTAATAAATATGTATTGCAGGATTAAAGCATTTGGATTGTAATTGTAACCTCCTGGAAACTATTCCTCCTGAATTGGCTGGGATGGAGTCACTAGAACTGCTTTATTTGCGCAAGAATAAGTTACGTTTTCTACCTGAATTTCCATCTTGTAGACTATTAAAGGTACTATTTAGTTAATTATTAAATGAGTATGTTTTTCAAAACTTATTTATGAGAATGTATTTCTTGAAAAGGAGCTATCTTATTTTCTAGTAGTCATGTGTGTTAGTTATATGAACTATTCTTTTCCTGTTAATATTTTTCACAAATTTAATGTGACTACTGACATTTGTGCTATTTTGTTAGTAGTATTTGTGTATGTGTATGTTGGTACTAGGGCTTGAACTTAGCCTGGGCACTGTCCCCTAAATTTTCCTCTCAAAGCTGCCATTCTACTCCACAGCTTCACTTCCAGTTTTTTGGTAGTTAATTGGAGGATAAGATTCTCAAAGACTTTGTTACTGGGGCTTGCTTTGAACTTTGATCTGCAGCTCTTGGCCTTTCGAGTAACAGGATTATTGATGTGCGCCAGTGGCCCTAAGCTTTGGTAGTAATACATTTTTAACAGAAAATATTAATTTTACAAATTAAAATTTATTTTGTCTGGTGAACAGTTTATAGCTGAGAAGTATTATAATAAGACTAAAATGGTAAGTTGTGCTATATGGCAGGAGCTCTGAAATACTGGTAAGGAATATGGGTTTAATTCTTTAAATTGGCACCTCTCAGAATTTACCTAATTATACTCAGGTGTATTTAAGGTTTATTACTTTCTTTTGGCTTTAAAAATAACATTGATATTGTCTTTTAAACTTGCCACAGTTTGCTTTTTTTGTAGACTTTTATGTACCAGTGTTAAGGAATTTCTTTCTTTTTTAAAAAAATATTTTTTATTAGTGTTAATTGAATAGGGAATTTTATTCCCATATGTCTATATATACAAATGTATCTTGATCAGACTTTCTCTATTACCATCCTTTACCCTTTTCTACCCAAAGTTTTAATAGAATGGTGACAGTGATTAAAAATAAACATTGGGAAAGTTTTCATTTTTAGTAAATGTAATATATAAATAAATGTAATGTAAATATTTTTGAAGTGATTATGGGAATAATTTTTCATTAGTAATTTTTACATTTATACTTCCATTAATCCTACAAATAAAATAAATCGTATCTGTTTTAGTTTTGAAACTTCATATTTCTGCCAGATTCAATTCTAATTATTTGGAAGTTACCAGAAAATAATTGAAAAAAATGACATTTTGTTGTTTTGTTAGCTTGAAAATACCTTAATTGAAATAGAAAATCTAAACAATATAGTATTTAAAAGGTTACTATTTTCCTATGTGTGTTTCAATTATTTAAAATGAAAGGGTATCCCAAATACACATAACTGATGTTTGGTTTTGTAGGAATTGCATATAGGTGAAAACCAGATTGAAGTATTAGGGGCAGATCATCTTAAGCATCTGAATTCTATCCTTGTGCTAGACCTGAGGGATAACAAGTTAAAATCTGTTCCAGATGAAATTAAACTACTACAGTCTTTGGAAAGGCTTGACCTAAGCAACAATGATATTAGCAGGTAAGCTTAAAGAACAATTGAATAGATACTTTGCCTGTTCTATGGTTATAGTTTTTTGCTTAAAAAATTAAAAACGGAGGTGCTTTTTAAAAATGGAATCAGTTAAGATTATATTTTGTCCTTAGTCAATTTGGTATATTAATAAAAGCAGATGGATCTCCACATTGCTGGAATTTACTATAAGCTCTGTAATATGCCTGAATATTATCATCTCTTTTGTTCATTGCTCTATATCTAACTCCCAGTGCAATGACTCATACATAAAAGGTGCTTGATAACTACTTGTTGAATTTGTTAAATTAATATAAAATTGTATAGAAATACATAATGCTTTAGGATCTTAAGGGATTTATTATTTAGTAGGAATTATGGAAGGCTTTAGGACTGGGATTAGGGTGAAGCAAGTTAATTGTCTACAGTGTAAAATTTAAGACCACATTTACTTTTGGGATCACATCCTACCATAGCCCTGCTTTGCAGCCATTCATTTAAACAATAATTGTGATTTTCAGATTCATGTATGAGGAGGTAGTGAGTGATCCACATGGCAGGAAGAAATAGCACAGAGCTTGGGAATTCTAAAAATATGGTGCAAATAGAAATAGGGAGGTTATAAGAATTTAGGGCTTTAAAATCTGAATTCCATGTGGAAGAAGCTCTTGAAGAATAATTTTTTGTTAGTTAGCACTATTGATAGACTGAACAAACTACTTTGGTTGAAATGTTATTTTTAACAGTAAACTGATGAGAGTAAGGTAATTGAATAGAGAGAATAAGAGTGTTGTTTGGGTGGAAAATTTACATAATACTCTATTAGCTTAACCTAAACTATTTCTCACTAAGGAACTCATAGTATCCAGGCCAATGTGAGATTCAGATTTACTCAGGATTATGCATCTATTAAATGTCTAAGGATTTGACCTTTGAAGCTAGGAAGACTGGATTCTGTTTGACAGAAGAAATACTAACAGGGCAGATTTTCTTTTGTTTTTCTCCTTCCTTCCTTCCTTCCTTCCTTCCTTCCTTCCTTTCTTCCTTCCTTCCTTCCTTCCTTCCTTGTGTGTGTGCTCGTGTGCTAGCGTGCGTGCGTGCGTGCTGGTCCTGGGGCTTGAACTCAGAACCTAGGTGCTATCCCTGAGTTTTTGTTTTGTTTTGTTTGGGGTGGGGGGAGGGGGGCTTGGATCGTACTTGGCTTGAACTCAGGGCCAGGGAGCTGTCCCTGAGCCTCTTTGTTCAAGGCTAGTTTTCTACCACTTGAGCCACATACCACTTCCAGCTTTTTCTGAGTAGCTTATTGGAGTCAAGAGTTTAATGGACTTCCTGCCCAGGCTGATTTGAACTGTGATCCTCAGATCTTAGCCTACTGAGTAGCTAGGATTACAGGCATGAGCCACCAGCGCCCAGCTTGCCCCTGAGGTTTCTTTCTGCTCAAGGCTAACATTCTACCTCTTGAGCCATAGCTCCACTTCTGGCTTTTTTGGAGATGAGTCTTATGGGATTTCCTTCTTGAGCTGGCTTTGAACCTTGATCCTCAGATTTTAGACTGAGGAGCTAGGATTATAGGCATGAGCTACCAGGGCTTGGTACAGATTTTCTTTTATATGTGTATTTTAATAAATATTCTAAAACTGCACATTTACTTCCACAGTGTACATTATGGCATATGGTACAACTTGATCATAAATTTCTTGGGCCTTTTGCAGTTAATTACCTTTCCACACTCCTAATACCTAACAACTAATATGCCCTATATTATACTTTTACCTTTTTACAGAATAACATATAAATAGCATTACACAGCATATAATTTTTGTGTCTGCCCTTTTTCACATAGCAGCTAATAAATATTTATTGATTATTTATTTATTCATTGTGATACTGGCATTTAAACTTAGACTTTGTGCAGGCTGGTTAGCTGCTGCTAGACAACTGCGGCCATGTCTATTCTCTAATATTTACATTTTTAATATTTGCTTTTTTAGTATTAGATACAGTTCAGCAAGTGTTCTGTTAGCTTATCTTCATTTCTAGCAGTTTCAACTTGATACACATTAAATATATATTGGTTCTCTTTTATGTACTTAGCATATATCTTCAGGGAAATATTTTTGATCTATGTTATTTGTATTTTCTTTGAGATTTATATATTGTCATATGTTATTTTTGTAGTCAACACTAGCAGATTGTCCTTATATTAAATATTATCCCTGAAATTAATTATTTGTAGCTTGCCCTATTCATTGGGAAACCTTCATTTGAAATTTTTGGCACTAGAAGGAAATCCTTTGAGAACTATTCGTAGAGAAATTCTAAATGTAAGTATTTTTAGAATTCAACTCTTTATTTTTTTTAATTCACATATTTTGATTTATAAACTTTAAGATATGCTTTAGCAAATGTGATTTTCGTCTTTCTCCTTTCAGAAAGGAACTCAAGAAGTCCTGAAATACCTAAGAAGCAAGATAAGAGGTACTTTTCTGTTATTTCCTCTTTTTAGAAGAACTACATGAAAAGCATAGCAAGGTTAACAGAGCTTAATTTAAATGTACTAGGCCAGATTGTGCATAATCCATACAGATGCAAGTTAAAAGAGTAGTGAATGCATTTAACAACTGAATTTTCAACTGATTTGTTACACAACAATACACTGGTAAAATTATTTTTTCTTCATGCTCTTGTTCTTCCTGCAATGTCAGACATAAAATAAAAACTGAGATATATCACACTTTTAGTAATGCATTAACATTTAATAAATTATTAAAATAGATTAAATTTATAACATTACTTTTGGAACATGGTCATTCTAAATTAACATAAACTAAAGTGTGTTTTTTAAAAATTTTTGTCAGAACTTAGCAAACCTGTGAATGTAGATACTTCTGTCAATATAGTAACAAGTGAGTAGAACTCATAAGTTATATCCTGAAAGCAAAGATTTGTTCCTTTCTGAAGTTAAAGTAGGTGTTTATTGAAGCTTTGTCAAGATATAATGGGTATATAATTCAAGTTATTAAAGATAGACCATTATTAGGAATTTAACCATCTTTTTAAAATGTCAGTATTGGGGATTAGGTTTGAGGTTCTTAAAAATTCAACATCTGACATTCCAGGCTTAGGTGATATAGTTCATCATAAGCTTAAAGAACATACTTTAGCCAAGTACTGGTAGGTATCACGCCTGTAATCCTAGCTACTCAAGAGGCTGAGATGTGAGGATCATGATTCAGAGTCAGCCCAGGTAGCAAAGTTCGTGAGATTCTTACCTCCAATTAACAACTAGAAAACCGCAAATGGCACTGTGGCTCAAGTAGTAGAACACTCACCTTGAGCTGAAGAGCTGAGGGACAGCCCCCAGGCCCAAAGTTGAAGCCCAAGACTGACAAAAAAAAAAGAATATACTTTAAGCAGAGAACTTTATAAGACCAGTTTAAACTGGAAATGTTAGGACTGTAGTTACTTCAGTCTTTGCAGTTTATGGGTAGGAAATATGTAGCAGTGATATTTTGTCTGTTCAGGGTGTGGTCCTGCTAGGTTCCTAAAGTCTCCCATCAGGTACTCTTATACTTAAATCCTAGTGTGTGCTTTGAAGTTTGTGTTGAAACTTAATCTCCAGTGCAACATTATTGAGAGCTGTAGCTTTCAGGAGAGGACTGTGTCATGAGGATAGGGGCCTCTGAATAGGATGGACACTTTCATGAAACAGTTTAAGGTTAAAGGGAGCATCTTCTTTTCTTTCTGTCATGTGAGAATGCTGGAAGAAGCCCTTGCTAGATAGCCCCATGATTTTGGATCCTGGCTTTCAGTACATTTCAGTTATTTAGAAATGACTGTTTGTATTTTTGTTTTTTTGCTGGAACATACTATTTGTCATCATAATTTTTTTAAAATAAGTTTTTTTTAATTGTGAAAATACTATACAGAGGGGTTACAATCACAGGAGCAAGGTAATGAGTACATTTCTTATAAAGCATTATTGCCTCTTTTATTTTTCCCATCCCTTCCCTCCCATCTTCACACATTCCTCTCTCCCCCCCCCCCCCCCCCCCCCCCCAGTTTCTTGACATAGCATCTTGTACATCTCATCTTGTCCGTTTTGTTGCAGTGGGTCAACCTGTATTCCTATTTAAACAATTTGTTTTTCCCTTCCGCTCCCCAAATTATACCAACATCAAACATAGTGAAAACAAGGGTTATACCGTAGAGGAGGAGGGACATACAAAACAAAATAAATCACATAGTACCTTATAAATATGTTAGAAACAACAGCAAGAAAGAAAAAAACCACTTGTGTCCTTATCTTGGAGCTCATTTTGCTTAACATCATCTTATCTGACCTTTTCTGCTTGTCTCAGATATATACTAGTTATTGCAAATAAGGGAAACCATGGGACCTTTGTTTCTTTGGGCCTGGCTTACTTCACTTAATATAATTTTTCCCAAGTCTTTCCATTTCCTAACAAATGGGGCAATGTCATTCTTTCTGATGGAGGCATAGAATTCCATTGTGCATATATACCACATTTTCTTTTATTTAATTTTATTTATTTTTATTTTTATTGTGAAAATGCTGTACTGAGGGGTTAAAATTACCTGGGCAAGATAATAAGTCCATTTCTTATCAAGCATTGTAGCCTCCTCCTTTGTTTCCCCTTCCCATCCCTTCCCATTCTCCCCCTACCCCCGACCCAGTCCTCCCCCCTCCCCCCACCAAAGTTGTAAAGTTCGTTTTTCCACATAACGACTTGTACATCTCATTGTTGCAGTGGATCCACCTGTATCCCTATTTAAACGATTTGTTTTTTCCCTTCCCCTCCACAAATTATACCAACTTCAAATACAATGAAAGCAGGGGTTATACCATGGGGGAGGGACATGCAAAGCAACAAAGAAATAATCTTATACATGTGTGAGAAACAATCACCTGAAAGAAAAAAACATTTGAATACATATCTTAGGGTTCATTTCCCTAACATCAACTTATCTGACCTTTTCTGCTTGACTCAGACATATACTAGTTATTGCAAATAAGGGAAAACATGGGACCTAAGTTTCTTTGGGCCTGGCTTACTTCATATACCACATTTTCCTGATCCATTCATCTACTGAGGGGCATCTGGGTTGGTTCCATATCTTAGCCTGGTAAATAATGCTGCAATAAACATAGTTGTGCTGGTAGCATTAGTATGGTCTTGTTTTTGATCATTCAGCTAAATGCCCAAAAATCGGATTACTGGGTCATAGAGGAGCTCTATGTGGAGTCTTTTGAAGAACTTCCATACTGCTTTCCAAAGTGGTTGAAAAGTTTACACTCCTACCAACAATGCAATAGGGTTCTCTTCTGTCCACATCCCCTCCAGCATCTGTTGTTACTAGAGTTGCTGATTATAGCTGTTCTAACTGTTTTGATTTGCATTTCTTGGGGCTGGGAAGGTGGCTCAGTGGTAGAGCGCTTGCCTTGCATGCATGAGGCCCTGGGTTTGATTCCCCAGCACCACATAAGCAAAAAGAAAAAAAGCCCGAAGTGGTGCTGTGGCTCAAGTGGTAGAGTGCTAGCCTTGAGCTGAAGAGCTGAGGGACAGCGCCCAGGCCCAGAGTTCAGGTCCCACGACCGGACCAAAAGAAAAAAAAATGATTTGCATTTCTTTTATGGCTAGAGAGGTTGAGCATTTCTTGATGTGTCTTTTGGCCATCTTCATTTCCTCTTCAGAGAAGTTTCTCTTTAAGTCTTTAGCCTACTTATTTATTGGGCAGTTATTTCTTTGAGGATTTGTTGTTGGGGGATTTAATTTGAGTTCCAGGTATATTTTAGATATGAAACCCTTGTCTGTTGTATGGCTAGTGAAGATCTTCTCCAAATCTGTGGGCTTTCGATTGATCTTGCTAGCTATGTCCTTTGCCATGCGGAAGCTCTGCAACTTCATGCAATCCCATTTACCTTTCTTTGATTTCTTGTGTTTTTGGGTATCTATTAAAAAAATTTCGGCCCATGCCAAGGAGACCTAGTGTTTCTCCTATTTCTTCTTGTAATGTTTTCAGGGTGTCTGCTTTGACTTCGAGGTCTTTGATCCATTTGCATTTGATTCTGGTGCAGGGTGATATATAAGGATCTAGCTTTAGTTTTCTACAAGTAGTTAACCAATTTTGCCAGCATCATTTACTGAAGAGGCTGTCTTTCTTCCATTCTATTTTTTTAGCTCCCTTATTGAAGATTAGGTGGCTATAGTTCTGTGGGTTCATTTCTGGGTTTTCAATTCTATTCCATTGGTTCTGAGGTCTCTTCTTGTGTCAATACCAAGCTGTTTTGATTACTATGGCTTTGTATTAGTTTGAAATTTGGTATTGATATTCCTCCTGTTCTTTGTGTTAAGGATCGTTTTTGCTATTTGGGGTCTTTTATTGTTCCATATGGATTTTTGGATTGCCTCTTCTAATTCCTTGCAGGATGAGGTTGGAATATTAATAGGTATCACATTGAATTTGTAGATAGCCTTGGGAAGTATTGCCGTTTTCATGATGTTGATCCTTCCAGGAGCATGGGAGGTTTTTTTCCACTTTTCTCCACTTTCTAAGTTCTCTTTTGATTTCCTTTTTCAGTTTTTTAAAATTTTCATCATAGAGGCCCTTCACTTCTTTGGTTAAGTTAATTCCTAGGTATTTTATTTTTTGTGGGGCTATTAGGAATGGAGTTGCTTTCTTGATTTCATCTGTGCTCTTATTGTTAGCCTACAGAAAACCATTGATTTTTGAGGGTTAATTTTATACCCTGCTACTTTGCCAAACTTCAAATCAGCGTGAGTAATTTGGGAGTGGAGTCCATGAAATTCTTTAAATACAAGATCATGTCATCGGCTAAGAGGGAGAGTTTTACTTCATCTTTCCCTGTTTGGATCCCCTTTATGTTTGCATCTTGTCTTATTGCTGTAGCTAGGCATTTCAATACTGAATTGAAGAGAAGTGGAGAGAGTGGACATCCTTGTCTTGTTCCTGAGTTAATAGGAAATGGCTTTAGTTTTTCACCATTAAGTATAATGCTGGCTGTAGGTTTGTCATATAGAGCCTTTATTGTATTGAGGAATATTCCATGGATTCCTAATTTTTCCAGAGCCTTCATCATAAAAGGGTGTTGGATCTTGTCAAATGCTTTTTCTGCATCTATTGAGATAACCATTTGGTTCTTATCCTTGCTCTTATTGAAGTGATGAATTATATTAATTGATTTGCATGTATTGAACCAGCTTTGCATCCTTGAAATGAATCCTGTTTGATCGTGGTGTATGATTTTTTGGATGAATTGTTGAAGTTGATTGGCCAAAATTTTGTTGAGAAGTTTTGCATCAATGTTCATCAAAGATACGGGTCTATAATTCTCTTTCTTTGATGAGTCCCTGCCTGGTTATGATGAGGGTTATCATGGCTTCATAGAATTCGTTTGGTAGTGAACTTTCTCTTTCAATTTCGTTGAGTTGGAG